AAAAAAAGGTACGTTGTATTGTCGACGCCAGTTTTGGGTATCTCTTGAGTAATGGCCAAAACATGTTGTGGTCATTAACATGATGTTCGTGGACAAACTGAAGCGATTTGGAAAGGCAGTTATCAATATCGCTCTGACTATTCAAAGCCCCTCACTCTTTCCACAAAAGGTTGGGATACACCCCCGATAGAACTTGCGCGCCAGACAAGGATTTTATCTGCAAATTTCGCTTTATGTTTGTATCTAACATTGTGAGGAATTCCTCTACGTTCGATATCGTACTCTTAGAAGATCTGTATTGACGAGCCAGTCTCCTTGTTCACATTCCAACCTGATTTTTTGCTCTTCGCACCACCTCTGACCTCTGTGCAGTAAATGCACGTGGTTTTCCACTTTTTGGAAGATTCAGTCATGGTTTGCTCGCACTCCGCTATTGCTCGGTAAATGATTCAGCTTTGGCTACCCGCCCAACCAACTTGTAGATAATTTTTCTTATTGCTAATCCATACACCTTGAAACGTTTAGGACATACGTTACCGATTCTTGCTTAAACACAGCTTGTAACTTTTCGGACCTTCAACCCAGACTATAACATCAGGATTGTCGTATCATGATCCACGTCCTCTAATCGAAGAGGTCGTCGTTGGCGGTAAAAACAAATTCCGTGACTGAACTGCAAGCGAATATTCGTAGGCAAACAGAACGCCGGGCTTTATTTGGAACCTCCGACTAAATCAAATAAATCAAAGAAAAGCCTTAGAGTGGCACACATATACACAGCTCCGGATTTATTAATGAAGCCAACGAGAACGAGTTCCAGCGGCAGGCTTCAGAGCAAATAGCTGCTACTCTTCCCTCGTGTTTGGTTAATCCATGTTTCCAGAAGATAAAAGAGAATGGCGCGCATTCAAGGTTTTTGCAATGCTAACAGTCATGGTCGACTGTGTCAATATTTCCGGATACTCCATTATGAATAGACTAGATAAAATAGTATGTAATTTCATTTTGTTTTTCTTTCCTTTCTTTTTTCTTCAGTATGAGAAATTGTAAAAATGTGTGTGCTTTATTGTGGCGAAACTATAACCTCTCTCACAAGTCCTTCCTTATTCTGGCTCACTACTTTTACCCAATAAATAGCTACAATTTCATCAAATTTCTATTTTGAAAACAACAGTTGCACTGATATTGACACTTCTCAGTCTTTACAATTAACAGTAATGCTCTTGACGTCAGTGGCGGCTCGTGCCAATTCAGTGAGGTAGTGCCAGAATGGAAGCCATAATTTTGAATCGATTCAAAATTGTAAAGAATAACTTATAACTTACCCCTGATAGTTAGTGGTCAAAGTTCTTGAGGTTCAATAAATCTATATGTCCAAAAAAAAATCAAAAATAAAACTATTTACACACGCGCACCAAATTATAAAACAAGTGTGGAGAAGTACCTATAACTTCAAAGTTTTCTATACATGAAGTCCATTCTTCTTTCTTTTTTGGTAGCAAAGTTTTCGATTACCTTATTATTAAAATTTTCAATGCCACTAACAAAATGTTTTTCTGCAGACAGCATTCCTAAAGCAGTAAGCCTTTCTTCCTTCATTGTGTTTCTGAGGAAAGTTTTAATCCGTTTCAGCATTGAAAAAGAGCGTTCTGCTTCAGATGTTGACATCGGTATAGTGATTAAAATACTTAAGAGCTTAAGAGTTTCTTGAAACGTACAATTTAATCCTGCCTCGTTCAATAAAATGGATAGTGGAACAGCTCCAGAAGTAGTACTCAATTCTTCTCTCTGATATAATACTTGTAACTCAGTTTTAAGCCTGTTTTTGTCTAAAAATGAAAATTGTGTGCATGTGTCATTTAAATGTGCTTCAGGAAACTGATGTTTATAAACAGAAAACTTTTCAGACACAAATAAATTAGAAGCAACTAAATGTCCAGAAAAGTTAAATCTTGTTCTTATTTGCGATAATACTGCATCGCATATTTCTAACGCTTCCCGTTTTTTGCTGCCTTCTTCAACTTGCCTTTTTTTTCTTGCCGGTTCATCAGTTTCTCTCTGCACTCGTTCAATCTCGTCAATAATGCTATCCATTTGTTCTCGTATAGTTTGAATTGCTGCTTCAAAATTCTCTAAATCATTTTTGACCTTAACAGAATCGGTGCATACTTTTTGTAATTGGTTAAAGACAATTTCAACATGTGGCATTATTTTATGGAATATACTTAGCCAAAATACAAAATTTGTATCTTGCAGCTTTAATTTGTACCCACTGGCTTGATTAATCGACGAAGAATCGCGTGAAGTACTTTCTATATTGTCCATAACTTCAATCAGGTCTTTCCTATTTTCATAAACAACACCTCGTGACTGAAAATTCCAACGTGTTTGGGAAGATCTTGGCAATCTGCAATTAACTATTTCATCCAAAATTTTTGTTCTTTGAGGAGACGTCGAAAAAAAAGAGCACAATCCAGATAAATTATGGAAAAATATTCTAGCCTGCTTATTGACAGAGCATGCGCTTGTCATAATTAGATTTAACTGGTGTGCATAGCAATGAACATAATTTGCAAGTGGATAAGTTTCCTTAATAATTTTTTGAACGCCATTCAATTCACCACTCATAACAGACGCACCATCATAGCTTTGAGCTATTAATTTGTTTGGATTTTGATTTAGTAATGGATTTACAACATTTAAAACGCATGCAGCGATTGATTTGGCATCGTGTCCGTCGGGGACGTAAAATCTCCAAAATCTCTCAACTGGTTGTCCTTTACACAAATATCTGAAAATAATAACTAACTGAAATTCACAGGCTACGTCAGTTGTTTCATCGGCAATTACTGCAACAAAAGGAGAATTTGCAATCTCCTTCTTAACTTCTTCATGATAAACATCTAGCATGCACTCAAGAAGCTCGTTTTGAGTTGTTTTTGAGGTACCCTTGAAAAGTTTGGCACTTTGAATATGGACTTTCAATTCGTTGTCTAATTCGGCGCTAAAATTCACCAGCTCCTTAAATATGCCTCTGTTTTCCGAATTTTCCTTTTCATCGTGACCCCTTAAGGCTAACTCAAATGCTCCACAAAACCTTATACAATTAATAATTTTATTCAATACATATCGATTCTTATCCACTTGATTATTATGTTTAATTAGATCATTGCGATAAGCCGAATTGAGTTGAGTCCTTATATTTAATTTACCAAGAATAGAAAAGCTAAAAACATTATTCATATGGACTTTAGATTTTTCGTGGGTCTTCATTTTATCCCATATATGTATAAGATCATCTGTACCTTTTTTTGACCAAGTCTCGTCACCTCCAAATAGAACACATACAAAACAAAATAGTTTATTCGTTTCTTCACAACCACATATCCAGCTGTTTGTATCGTACACATTTTTATTAAATTTGCGACAGCGCGATTTTTGTCCGCTACCACTTTGTTTCTCAATTTTTAAATCGGGTATTGGTCGTCCTAATTCTTTAATTTGCAGTTTTTGATCCAGCGAAAAACCACTAAATGAGTTTTTTAATATCCCAATTTTATTCATTTTCACTAGTTTTAATAAAACAGTAAAAAGTATGATCACAAAACAGAGCAGTTCATTAACACTAGACGTACTAAAACAAAAAAGGTATTTTTCACTTTTCAGGTAAAAAAAGACCGAAATCAGCACTAGACGTAATCATAACGAAACGACCGACCGAACAAAAACACCGCCGATATCACTTGATAACGAATTACGACTGATGATGTGCCTGGCACAAATTATACTTGTCTTTCGCTATTCACCTCATATAAAAATGTGTAGGGTAGCGTTATCTCTGTCGCTCGTATGCGATGCTAGTAAAATTTCTCTCTTTTTATTTGGGCCGGCCCAAAATTGGCACAAGTTGATGACGTCAAGGTCAAGGCGTGCTTTCCGTCTCGCGTGGTTCGGGTGCTTGCGGTGTTGTCACGTTGTCAGTGTTGTCACTTCATATAATTTATACCAAAAAAAAAAATGAAAAAGCAGAAAATAAAGTAAAACATTGAAGATTGAAAAAAATATTCTTTTTGAAGAAGACAAGGTAGTGCCATGGCACCGTGGCACTACCTCACGAGCCGCCACTGACGTAGAGATCCGCCGGGTGGTACCTCCATGTTTGTCATTGCATGCAACCGAGAAAGTGGACGATAGGGAACTTGTAACTAAACTCTTAAAAACTTGAAAACCTGAAAACTGGAAAATTGAAAAGGGTTGTTCTTCCTACTGCGTAATGTTTGCAACTGTTATGCCAAAGGATTAATTATCCTCGAAAGTATAAATTAGTCCAAACGTTATGCTTCTATTGAATTTTGGAACCGATTCACGATATTCCTTTTCAATATACCGAAACCACCCGAAACGTTTCTGTAATTTTCCACATTCATTTTCGCCAACTTTACCGGCGTCGCAGCTAAGTAAAGGAGGAAAATGTTTCCAGTTTTCAGTGCTATTAAGCAAAATTGGCTGCCCCAGCTTCCGCCGTGCCGTATTTTCCTAGTTCAAAAGGATCAAGTGTGCGATGAAATGGTATACATTAACTTAATTACACCTATTGCATTTCAGTAACGTAGCTTGCGTCTCAGATTTTGTTACCGAATACATAATAGGGGTATTGCGTTCTTGTTACTGCCTTTGATGTTTTCTTATTCAATTTACTGTGAAATTGTGTACTAGTTCAAGATAGTCCGTCACTCATTTGTGTTCACCCTTTTCCAGAAAAAGGAATTCAATTTTTTTTCTGAACTTAACCCTTTCAAGGCATATTTTTAAATTTTTAAGCTATTTCATTTATAGCTGAGAAAAATGAAGTGATAAGATCTCAAAAGCATTAAAAATAGCCCAGAAAATTTTTCCATTTGGAGAAAAAGGAATTAGTAGGTGGTATCACCATGATACCACCAAGCACTAAAATAATACAATGCAGATATTACTGAAACATATATTTAATTAAGATAATGTTATAAAAAGGAGTTTGAAGTAAAAACATACAACTTATTTGCTATGATATTTTTCAAAGCAATTTTTTTGGTCAGTGAGACACAAACCGACATTGCAAGTAGTGCACGACCATCGCGTACGGTGTTGTTCCGCTTTTGTGCTGCAAAATGCACGTCTTCATCTGACCCATTTTGATCATCCTCCGATTCATTTCCTGAAGGTATGTCCTCAAAAAATATATTCCTGTACTCTTCAGAGGTCATATTTTCCAAATCTTTGTAAGACCACTTTTTCCCTGAAACAAAATCCCCAATCAATTAGTCACTATCCACGTAAGCAGCTAACTTAGTAAAATAATTGAATCAAAAACAAAAGTACACCCACCAATAAACAAACATACCAACAACATACAAGTAGCCCACCAACCAATAGTCTAAATAGTTTTTCCATCGACTTCCATCCCGCCGCAAACTTCACAATTACCGAACTGACGGCAGATCAACTAACCCAGCAAAACAACCAAGTTACTCAAAAACAGAAAAATACGCCCACTAATTACACAAACACACTGCCAAACATACAAGGCAAAAATCCAAAATCACCGAAAATATTAGGCATTGATTGCTATGTGGTATCAATTGACACCACCTTAATTTTATTCAAAGCAACCAATAAAAATATATAAAATCGCGTGTGCCTATGATAATAACATAAAACAATACCTAATACAATAAAATATAGTACTTACCCGCCATTCTGTTCTTATTTTTTGAAATAAACACTCAATTTATGACCACGCACGCCATTGACCTGCACACTGCGAAAACAAATCGATAAATGTCAAATAACAAGCTGTTAGGAATGGCGTCCTATGTAAATAATTTTTTTTCATACTAGTTGGCAATATAGTACTACTTCTTACACGGTGGTATCGGCAGATATCCACTCCGCAGCGCCGTGATAAATTATTAAAAAGGTGGTTTCATGGTGACACCACAAAGCTTGAAAGGGTTAAAGTGTACAGAGACAAATTTTGAAATGCGGATTTGTAGATGTGTACCGTTAGTGAACATTTGAGGTAGATGAAAGAACCACACAAATATCACAAGATGAAGTTAAAGAAATCTATAAGACTATAGGGTGCTAATAGAGTACCTGACCAAACTTTGAGGCATTTAAGGGATTTCAACAAGAAGTAGAAGTCACCCTGGGTCCAGCTCAAGAAAAGTTCTGATTTTAAACAATATTCTTTTAACTAACAGGACGAGTTTGTATTACATTCTTTTCTCGTAAGGTAAGGTATGATATATCGGGGTAACATTTCTCTAAATCCAGAATAATCAACCCACATACACTTTTAATAGTCCAAAATTGCTTGAAGTTTCATGTTGACAGTTGAAATGAATTCGGTCATTTCAAACATTACGCAAGTCATTATACAGGGTATTTCAGTTTATTGTTGCATAACTTTAAGATTCGATAGAACTTTTAAAATGAATGCATAAAGTCTATATAAACATGGGCCGCAAAATGCGTGGCTTCCGAAATACAGGGTGTTTAAATTTACTTTCTAAAATAGTTTTTTTTCAATATTTCCTTAAATATTTGATGCATAACAGTGAAAGTTGGTATACAAGGGTTTTTTGGTACGAAAAAACGAACCAAGGGCATAGTTTTACTGTAGCCGCTAGAGGGCACTCTCTACTGTACCTGTAGTGTATTAAAATGACCGAAAATTGTTTCTTAGTGCAATTTTTTGCTTTTTGAATAAAAAAAACTGATTCTTCGCACTTTTCTGCATAAAAAAGCTCTCCTATGAGTTTTCGTTATAGTTAGCTGTTTTTGAGATATTTCGATTTTTAAGGTTCGATGCATTTTTAATTATTTATGATAAAATAACGTTAAAAAGCCAGTATCTCGATAATTTTTAGAGGTAAGCTGTGCCTGAAAATATTTTTGAAATTGAAAGCAGAATAAGGTTAAACGTCAATTAGTTGACAGTTAGTTTTGTTGTCTGTTGAAACCTGAAACGTTTTTTTGCAATTGTGAATGCACGAAATTTAGTTTCTTTTACCTGTTTTTTTTTTGTAAGTTTTATATAAATGCCATTTTTATTCTCCAATCAAGAGTTAGCGGATATTCATTTTGTGTATGGCTTTGTAAATGGAAACGCATGGATCGTTTTGTCGTACCAAAAAACCCTTGTATACCAATTTTCACTGTTATACATCAAATATTGTTCAAAATATTAAAAAAAACTATTTTAGAAAGTAAATTTAAACACCCTGTATTTCGGAGGCCACGCATTTTTCGACCCATGTTTATATAGACTTTATGCTTTTTTAAAGGTAGATGCGTATTCTAGGTATAATTCTACGTACGGAAACCATTCCTTCCTCTTCAAACAACACGCAATCGATATTGATTGATTTTACACATAAATTTGTCAACAATTCAAATCCTCCAGGTCTGACTAAACATTTCTTGGCTCGCAAATCGAAATGTTAGATCGAAATTGAACTACACAGTTGCTCAGAATTAGACCACTATGTGCCAAAGATTGTTCATATTTTTCTAATTTTCTCGAAAATGAATCGGCCGAAAATCAAACGTTGGGACCTAGAAGGATCTTTCAAACAAGCATTGCTTCGATACCCCTTGGCATTTAAAATTTATAAGGGGATGACCCTGGGGGCAGAGGGTGAAAGAGGGTGAAGTAGTTATTGGTTAAAAAGCTGTCGTGCTTGACAAATCTTTCAACGTGTCTCGGCGTTTTTTCTTTTAATCAGTGGTTTTCGGTATACCTGTGGTAGGAAGTTTTCAAATGACGACCCTATACAGGGTGACTTCGAAGTTGAGTCATTTATTTTAACAGTGAGTAGATCTGATCAAAAGAAATGTTTTTTTCCTTTACCATTTTTCTGGTAAAATTAAAGTAACAAAGTTATAGCCCTCTGGAAGTTTGAGTACCGCCCTGTCTCAATAATAATATCATGTACTCGTGTTTGGCAACAACGGATATAATCCACCTTATCGGTTCATCGCATCGGAAACAAAAAAGCGAAAGAATTTGGAACGATGTTTTTATTTCATTCAGTTCAGTTATACATACAGTCAGTGTCAGTCTGTTGCGTGGCTCAAACGAAATAAAAAATGGCACATGTTTATGCGGATCGGTTTCCCAATCGAGTGCAACCAACCCCTCGTGCCTTTGTTAATGTAGTACAACGGGCTCGTGAATCAGGTGACTTAAGACCTCACAGGGCACCTCACGATCAAATACAGGTCCGCACTGAAATACTTGTCGGGAGGATACTTTATAAAACAAGGTAAACATTTTTTTTTATTTTTTTTTTATTTTTACACACATATTTTGGTTTATCTTCCTTCTACAATCATTATCTGAAAATTAATGACTTCAAAGTATATGTATGTATAACGCTGTCAGGACAAGATTCAGGCTCCCAACAAGTTCAAATTCAAACTAAAATGTTATCTGATACGCATTAGGATCAATGATTATTTGATTATATGATTAGTTTTATATTCAACGTATTTATTTATTATTATTTATCAATTTTATAGATATTTACAAAGTAGTTATCAAAAATAGATATGTCTTTGTTTAACATAGAATTTATTACTCCTGTATTTGTATATTATATATATGTAAAAATTAAAAATTATAATCGCTACATATGTATGTTACCTTGTGAATGTTTGTGTGGCTTAACTATTTTTTGTTATTAACAATGAATTTTTCATATCTAGTTTATCGTTTATGGTATTTAATTATAGTTTAGTTCTAGTTTAACTGTGTAATTATTTGAGCGCTGCTGTGGTTAATTAGAATATCTATTAGCTAGATTTCGCCACTAGTTTATAATTTTTGTAACAAATAATATCTAAAGTCGTTTTATTACAAACAAAGGTGAATGTAAAATCTAAAATTCATCTTGTAGTTATCTTGCTGATCAATTTTCATATTCTGGTGGCTGCCAAATGAAACCACAGGCGCAGAAATGACTGACACTTCGGTGTCCTTTTTTTAGACGTGTACACAGTTTGAGTTGAATTGGTCATTTCAAAAACCACTAACTTGCTTTCTCGCTAAGACTCCATGGTCTTCTGGCCAAATGATATTTAATATGCATTAAATACTTTAGACTGGCGTTTCGATAGACATCAAACATAGATTGTCATTGTCATTATTTGTACTTTGAAAAATGGCCGAAATCGTCGCCGCCTGGGTTGCTAGGCAACGTGGTGCGTCATCTCTTTCTAACATACGTGATGTACGCTTCTCGTACGCATTATGATGCCAGTGGTATATGAATCTGTCAGTATATTATAAACAATTTAAACCTCTAATTCTTGTCTTGTTTTTTCGTGTCATTTTTTCATTATTATTATTAATAAATTATAAAGGTTGTTCGACATTTTAATAATAATAATGTTATGTGCTCGTGTTTGGCAACAACGGATATAATCCGCCTTATCCGTTCATCGCATCGGAAACAAAAAAGCGAAAGAACGAAATAAAAAATGGCACATTTTTACGAAAATGCTGAATTTGTGGACATGATTCTTATTTACGGGGGTCTTTACAAAATGCTGCCGCGGCATCACGGATTTATGCGGATCGGTTTCCGAATCGAGTGCAACCAACCCCTCGTACCTTTGTTAATGTAGTACAAAGGGCTCGTGAATCAGGTGACTTAAGACCTCACAGGGGAGGGCATGCCGGATGCCGGTGCTCCAAGACCGCACGATCAAATACAGGTCTGCACTGAAATACTTGTCGGGAGGATACTTTATAAAACAAGGTAACATTTTTTTTTTATTTTTACACACATATTTTTGGTTTATCTTCCTTCTAGAATCATTATCTGAAAATTAATGACTCAACTTCAAAGTCACCCTGTATATATATATATATGATATATAATGATAGTGATTAGAATTATATTACGATTAACATTAATTCAACGTAGCAACATATAGCGCAATTACATAAAAACGAATAATAATTCGGGCATTTGTTGAAAGTTTATTACGTGTCAGGAATCCGATATATCATGGAACGCATGTAGAGTATCCTATCTATCCGTTATTGTCGATATTATATGAACGTTTTGCGGAATGTTATTGCAATTTATATCGGCATAATAGCCTATCTGCAGTATTCCGCTTTTGTGCTACGGATATTAATATGGCCGATAAATTGTACAAAAGCCATGTTTATAAATCGTTACAATAGGTTTTAAAAATATCGCTGATTTGGCATTTTTATATCATGCAGTGTTTCCATTAGGTTCCACAGATCTGTTTTGTTAACTAATTTGATACACTGATTTAGAATATGGCCATTAATAAATCGTAAAGTATCGCGTGTCTTTATTTAAAAGCAAAGCTTGATTGAATTTTTTATATTAGACAAAAATACCCCTAGTTTGCGACGTAATTGTAAAGTCTGGTTTTATTGCTGCAAGTTTTTTAAGGGGATATTTAAAACATGGACGCATAAAATAAGTATACCAATATTTGTGTTAATAACTTAAATTTTATTATAATTTTATTTTGAGGTCATTAATTATGATTGATTCATCGATGATCTACTACTGTAATACAATATTTTGATTAATTGATCGCACTAGAGACATCTAATACATTAAAACGTCGTGGCTTATTTCACGACCTATACTTACAACTACATACAGGGTTTGTCCGGAAAGTAGTAGGACTGAGTCGATTTAAAAAAATGTATTGATCCAATCGTTACAATTCTTTAAAAACTTTCAAAATAGGCTCCTTCTGCGTCGATGCAGAGCTGCCGGCGCGATTTCCAAGCATTGAAGGCGTCACGGAAGGCATTCTCCGGAATAGCCTTGAGGCCGCGGTGCATGCTGCTTGGATCCCCTCTGTCGTCTCAAAATGCTTGCCTTTCATACGCCTTTTCAGGCGAGGAAACAGAAAAAAGTCCGGGGGGCCACATCTGGGCTGTAGGGCGGCTGCGGAAGCGTTGGGATGCCGGCCTTGGTCAGATAGCTGTTCACAAGAAAGGCGGTGTGAGCCGGGGCGTTGTCGTGGTGCAACTTCCAGTCGGCTGCGATGTCTTGTCGGACCCGACTGACCCTTCGTTTGAGTCTCCTGAGCACTTCCACGTAAAACTTGGCGTTGACGGTTTATCCAGGAGGAGCAAATTCATGGTGGACGATGCCTTTGATGTCAAAAAAGACGATGAGCATCGTTTTCACTTTGGATTTGCTCATTCTTCCCTTTTTTGGGCGAGGAGACGCTGTCGTGTGCCACTCGGAAGATTGCCTCTTTGTCTCGGGATCATACTCAAAGATCCACGACTCGTCACCTGTGATTACGTTATTCAAAAATTGGGGGTCACTTTCACAAATTTTGTTGGCACACTTCCACTCGCCGCAATTTCTGGTCGTCAGTGAGCACTTTTGGGCCCATTTTCGCGCACACCTTGCGCATGTTCAAATGCTGTGTCACAATGTCATGAACCACAGATTTTTCGAAGCACAGTCATGGCAGAAGAAAATGAGTCCTATTACTTTCCGAACAAACCCTGTATACATGTGTCGACCACCGTCTCTAGATATTAGCGTTGCCACCTAACGTGTTGCCGCAGGTTACGCGATTTGATGTTCTGTGATTGAGGGATATGACCTTCCGTAACAGGAAAATGCAGTATGTTTTATTACTTCTAGGGAAGTTACTGGGCGACCTTACTTGGCTGTGGCGATGGAAATTGTATGTGAACGTTTAAATACAACATAAGGTTGGGCAAAATAAAGTGCGTTAATCAATACTATAAAAGCAATGTACATCAACTACGCACTATGTTTAAGACAAACCTCAGAAGACAAAAGCAAGTTTTTACATTATACAGCTGTACGTATTCAAGACTTGCAGACCAATAAAAACCGGGGTGTATAACCCCATAAAGGCTATGAGTGTAATATCGTCGATGATATAACCTAGATGATATAAACGAGAATATTTCATTCCCAGAACGAGTTTACGTGTTAAGAACATGCGATGTCAGCTTAAAGCGCTCCGTGAAGAGACAGTAGTTATTTTTTATGGTAATTGTTAAGTGGCCAGAAGATCAGATTAAAGATTTTATGGTTTGAATAGAGTGAGTCGTTGAAGAATGGTGTCCGACTATACTGCTACTGGAGGATAATTTTCACTTGAAAAGGACCCTGTGTTATGAAAGATGCTATCAAAATTTATGTATAATACTGTATTTTTATGAGGAGATTAGTGGCCACTGTTCTAAAAATATTTCAAAATGGTTTTCTCTACTAGCACATGCTTACGTTTAATGGATCATAAGGATAGTAAATTTATTAGTCTTTTTCATGAGGGATGTAGGTTTTTTTTATTTTAACAGCATCTATAAAAGCAGCATGATTGATTCCGTAAAGCTTCTGAACCATCTTTTTTATTTATCTAGATGCATTTTAAAAATAAAGGCGTTTTATTATTATTATTATTAAATAAAAGCGTTTTTCACGTTTTTGTTGTTTGATAGATAACTTGACGAGGATGTTCATTATGATACAAAAAAATCCGTCTAGCCTCTTGAATAGCGCAGGATTGAGCTGTGATCAAAGTTGAACAATAAAACGTATATACAGAATATTATTTATTCAAACAGCATTTTTGAGAATGTTGACCTAAATCTATATGTAGCAAGCACCCCTGCTAGCTCTCCTGTGAGATGCTATTTTTCCCAATATCCCACGGAAGCATATTATTTCCTCGTTATGGTCTGAAAATTGCCATTTTATTATAGCGTAGGATATTCATAAATCTTCTTACCGATATCGCGAAAGGTAAAGCTAATAGATGAGGTGTTAAATTACCAGGCCATATTTTTTACAAACCGAACGAGTTTTTATCGACCATAAGCACATAGAACCTTGTATCCAAAAGTACCGTACGATCATAACAGCAGCAAAATTCCAACATTGCGCGTTTGAGTTATTGTAAAGGTACGCTGATCTAAATATTCCAGCACCAAAACTAAACTATCGGTTCTGGACTTTTGCTATCATTATCATTATTATCAATATAGGATTTTTTGGTTCACAGAGAGCACAGATATCTTTTCCCTGCACTACTGGTGGTACCATCTATATGGCAAAATCGCCTCTCGCCCTTACATCTCTCTAGACGAATCCACTTCAGTGTTGCCACAGGCTCCGAAAATTTCGGGCCAGATTTTACGTATAAAAAGTGCCGCATTTTTGGAATTCGGGACAATTTTTTTTTTTTAGGTTAAACTACTCCATTTCAGATTTTGTTTTACTCTAATATACCTATATAATTACTTCTAATGTTCTTATAACAATGGGTGCATTCGGGGAAGTGCAGCACAGAATTCTTTATGTAAAAAATGACAATTTTGATAGGCATATCAAGAATGACAGAGTTCTAAGGGAACTTATCAAAATTGTAATTTGAACATACAGCCCTACAACGCTGCAGTTCCCCGAATCATGAGTGTACGAGATTTCTAATAGAAAAAAATTCAATGAAAGTTGCACTTTTTTATACTTATTGTTTTTATGATTAGGATAAAAAACCATTGGGAACTAAGATCACAAAAAACTGTTTAAAACCCATTTTTTGGAACCTGAGACTTGAAATTAAATCCAATGTTAATGGGTATAGATACGAGTATATACAGTAATGGACAAAAGTATATAGACAAATTTAATATTGTGCTGTATTTCTTTTTGAACTTGTTTTATTAATACACCAACCTGTATACATAATTCGTTATAGCATAATACTCACTTATACATAAATAAATTCATTAGACTGCCTTCAATAAAAAATTAATTGAAAAAAAACTGGAACTATGAAGGACAAAAATATATAGACAAAGCAAAACAATTATAGAAAAAGGAAGAAAAGTTCATTCAATTATAGAAAACCAACCATGTTTGTGTTAATATTTTGTAGCATAATAAATATAATTATATATATAATAAATAGCATTTTGTATCCATAATTCCAGCTATTCTATGTAAAGGTAGCATTTAGTTTTCTAGGCCGACCACTTCTCTTAGAGGCTTCCAAGATACCTTTTTGTTTATATTTGTTCAATATCGACCAAACTGCTTTATGCTTCAGCTTCTAATTTTTGGCAATGTCGACTTGACGATGACCATCTTTGTATAACTCAATGATCTTAGTTTTCACATCGAAATAAATTTCTGGACCACGCGGCATGGTCTTAAAATCACTCGACTTATTCCACAATACTTGATGAACACAAACTAATCCTCTTCTGACACGAAACTGTACTAAACTAATGTTGAAAAGAATTTGTCTACATATTCTTGTCTCTCATAAAAAAGTGCTTATATTCAGACTTTTATTCATTGCAGATAATGTAAAAACAAGGAGTTTAGTTTTTCTACTAATAACGCGTTTGTTTATGGAGCAATGAAGTATGAATTCGTTTTTTAAAGGTATTTAGGTAAGTAATCATATTTGTCTATATACTTTTGTCGATTACTGTATATATCATCTGACAGGAACAAAAAACCTTCATGCTAACATACAAGAAAACAAAATCATGGTTGAAGATGGGTAGGGTTGCTTAGTACTTGTAAACCCCAATGTCCAATATACGCTAACTTTACAGTTCAAACAGTGATTATAGATATAATGTATTTGACCAACTAAGTTGCATTGAAAGTGGTATGTTAATGCAGAACGGGCCAGATTTCTAAAAGAGGGGCCGGGGTACTTTCCAAGTTATAGATGCGCAAAGGATTAGCGTACAGACATGTAAAGCGAAATGAGTGATGAAAATGTCATGTAACATCTAAAAAATATAATTTCTTATATCGGTAATAATCTCATTTTCGAAATTTTCTCCGATTAAGATATTTCCTCCCCAGTAGGCGTAGGAAGTAGAAGCAACATCCAGAAACCTTGTGATCTTAGTGTTTATTCCGTTTCCTTATTTGTGTGATGTGAGTGTATCATTATTCTGATTTTATCTTTATCTCTGTTCCAGACTGAATTATCCCACAACCTCCAGCAGTTGTCGGAGCGCGCCAGATCCACCACCGAGTTTATACAGCGACTCAAAGGAATGAGCGATAAAGTTAATGTAAGTAATCTGTTTTATTAAGCCGGGTAATGTCCTTTTCAACCAATGGCGCGTTTGATATCCACTGACACGCGTAGGTTGGACAAGCTAAGTTTTGCTAATGTTAGGTTTTGGTTAAATTCGAGACAAAAGTAAACGTATTCTTACCTTTGCTTTTCGCACACAATTGTTTTTGCATGTAGCACTGCGATCTACGAGTAGTTCGTCCCCTTTGCGCCTTTGGCATCTCTGAATGACAACATCTACTTACTTATTTACCCTCCTACAAACACATACAAATGTATTTAAAAGAGCCCTTACTAAAAAATTAATTACAAAGACAACACAACATTTTAAAATGCAAAACAGAGATAAAATATATACAGGGTGTCCGCAAAGTTGGGGTTTTCCTTTACACGACGTGTAGATCTTGAAAACATAAACAATTTTTCTTAGTACCATATACACCAATGTCTTACGGGAATCGAGATAAAGGGCTCTGCAACATCAAAAATATCTGAATACCGTCCTGTAGCCGCGACATCCCCGAGTGGTACTAGGACACTAGCTCAACCCGACGACAGAACTGGTTCGGGGTCAGTGTGTCAGGTCAGTATGCAACCTTCAACCGACGGTTACGGTCACGCGTGTAGAGATAATCGCGTAGACGAGAATCCCTTCAACAAGCACTAGAGACGTGGCTAGAGAAGTGCAAGTATTAAAAACTAAAGTGTGGCAAACGCTGCGTGAAGAGGGGCTGTATCCGTTTCACGTCCAACGTGTACAAGCCCTCCAACCGATTTTCCAGCAAGAGTGCGGTTTTGTGAGTGGTTGTTGCATCAACATGACAATAATCCGGACTTTTTGAAGTGCATATTGGTGACAGACGAATCTACGTTCACGCGTAATGAGGTGAATAACTTTCGCAACACTCATATTTGGTCAGTAGAAAATCCGCACGCTGTCCGTCGGGCACATTTTCAACAAACATGTTCGGTGAATGTTTGGGCTGGCATGGTGAACAGTATGCTCATTGGACCATTTATTCTCCCAAATTTGTCATATTTGTTACCTCTGTTCGTGGTCTGCACCACCGCCGGCGTCTGCTCGGTAGTGCATCAGCTGATTTCATTTTCTGTTGGAGCGGTATGATTTCGGGCAGACATACTTAGCCCTTCTCGTCAACTGGAGAGTGAGTAGTACTTTTTCCTTTATTTTTTTTTACTTGGTCGCCCTCGTTTCACTACACATTACCTTTGTTATTTCAAGGGTAGTTGTTTCTGAAAAGGAAAACCCCAACTTTGCGGACACCCTGTATAATGTATAAAATAGTATATACGAGGGATCTCTTTTAAGTTTTGCATATGGAAATGAAACAACACGGTAGGTAGTTTTGAATGACTTTATTGTTTTTCGAAGTATTCTCCACGAAGATTAATACACATCTGCATGCGCTCGAACCAATTTTCGAAGCAATTATTCCACTCGTTTGCTGGCAGATCCAAAACGGCATTTTTGAATGCGTCAACTGCCTCTTCTGGTGACTGGAACCTTTGACCACGCAGTCTGTTTTTAATTTTTGGGAAAGTAAAGAAATCGTTACTTAGATCGGGACTATGTGGAGGATGGTCCTCTTTATAACATCTCGTATATTAAACAAAAAAGTTCAAGGGGCAAGACTCTAAAAAACTTCGCTGTTTGAGATTCCAGAGGCTTGCTAAAAATTGAGGCTTGTGGTTGTAGGGGTGGAGGAGGGTTAATCTCAATTGGTATACTTATACGCTTTCAATCTCGATAATTCTACTCACCTATTAGACGTATTTCACAGATCATAGACTTCCGCGTACATTTGCCATTTAAACTTGGAACGATAGAGAAATATCTTCGACAAATATCTCTCTCTGTGTGTCTCTCTATTTACCAGCGTCACAATCTCACCGAAGAGTGTCGTTTAATCACCTATCGATCAATGGTATGGGCCTGTTGGACTGAATTGTTGCGATTAATTTCTTGTAATTTATTAGATTTGAGATCTAAAGAAACAAAGTTGCCGACATTTCGGCAAAATTTGTTTCCTTCTTCAGGGTTCTGTAAAAACACTAACTTTACATATACATTAATAAACAATTTAAAAATAAAATCAAAGTAAACGATACTTATTTTGGTTAATTAAGACATTATAAAAATGAGCTATAAACAATATAATCCTGTATGAAGTGATTATGGAAGTGCAAAGCCAACTTACTCGACGCCATTTTTGTATAAAGTCTCAAGTTTGCCTTTTCTAAATAAAGCTGTATAGTTTATACCCCTCAAATCCTGCCGCTGCCTTTTCAATCTCTATGCAGTGCCTGTACTTCCGCCCGACTCAGGAAGCAGAAGCATCCTAATGTGATATAATAAATACTAAACGGGGGCTCGCGCGCACATTTCGTTTAGCGGATCGACGAACGTGGGCCGCCCCGGAGGATCAAAAATACGGAAGGCAGGACCGAAGGCCGAAGAGCGAAACGGTCGTGTACGTGCCTAGAAAAAAGGGATAGAAAATAGGATATAGCGAAGGAACAGCAAGCGACATAGAAAACATGTGTTTGGTCTAGGGATCGACTGATTCTTGTATCGGCAGTATCGGCCTAGTGATCATTACAGCTCAAGAAAATAAAGTACTGCTGTAATAAAATTAATTGCTCCTAAAACAGAAGATATTCCTGCTAAATGAAGTCTAAATATTGCCAAATCTACAGAAGATTCCCTATGGGCGATATTTCTTGATAAACTGTTCATCCTACACTGTCCCCCCCGTTCTACTAATCTTTTAAAGAAGGTCAATTTCCAAATCTTCCGATCATAATGAATATAAAAAAATTATAATAAATGCATGGGCAGCAACAAATTTGATCATTACCAATAAGTGATCCGGAGTTTCCTAATTCAGCTCAAATTAGAAGGGAATTTCCAGGTATTCTAGCCCAAGCTCCAAATATAGAGTATAGAGTTCTCATGATTGATAACTGTGCCCATATGCGAACATAAGCCGACCGATAAAAATCATTTATAAGCTCTCAAATTATCACACTGTGTAATACGACCACGTTTGTTGAACAAATTGCAAATATTTCCACACCTCGCTATCTTTTTCGGGATTATCATCTTCATGCTTACAACATATATAATACATAATAGAAAGGGATAGGACAGTGAACACTGCGCTTCTTAAAAAACGATAGTAGTTGAATTGGAGGATTTCTTTTTAGATTTGAAGGTTTTGTCCACAGATGTTAAGGGATAGTTGAAGACAAGGAATCAGAATCGTTTTTTTTTCTATTGCGCAGATACCACCACAGACGCATTTCCATCATCGGACTATACAGGGTGTCCCAACGAAAATGGAAAGTAACCTGGAAAAAATATAAAAAATTTGTTTTCTTGGCAATCTCGATGTGTTACTGGGCATATTTTCAAATTAGTTCAATATGAATAGAACATTCTTCTAAAAACAAGAAGTTTGATGTCATACAACATCTCTTTTCGATTGTCAATTGTATAGATATTTGGTCAAACGTATGAAAAAATGCCCAGCTTTGAGGGCTTACAGCTGTGTCATTTTTGAAGATATTTAGATAAATCTTAGTTTACAAAATTTTGATTATGGATTTCAAGCTGACCTGGAACAAATGCTGAAATTTCTCTGTATTTACCTCTAACGCAAAATGTATCTACCTTTTCTTGAAAAATTCAAATGGAACACGCTGTATATTTCTACATCGTTAAATAGTTCTTTGTGAACTTTTTTTTTAATATAAGGTTTATACAACTTTTTTTCAAACGTTTTTGAGTTATTGCTATTAATTTCCAGAAAACCAAAATACATCTTGTATTTAAGCATGAAGTCAAATCTTCTATCAAAACAATAGCTTTTAATAACACGACAAAAATATCAGCCCGAAGCAATCAATCGTTAATAAATTGTTCGAATATATCACCTTGGTGTAAACAAGTGTTGAAATTATCTTGCACGTCTAAAACGGTTTGGCAAGGTATCCTCTTCAACGATTCGCTTATACGATGTTTTATGTCCTCGGGTAGTTCCTGGTGAACGTGTCCTTTTACATGGCTCCAGAGAAGGAAGTCGAGAGGCGTCAGATCGGGAGATCTCGCTGGCCAATTGATCGGTCCACCTCGCCCGCCACTATTAGGGCGCCAGCGATCTAGATCGGTTTTGAGATCCGCTAGGTTGCATTAAACATTAGTGCAAGTTAAACGCTATAGGGAATCGTGTTACCCAAGTTGCTAAAACAGCGTGGTTATGAAAAAATACTGGATCAAACATCTGGGTATAACATCAATTTCATAGTAAATGACTGTTTTGGGGTTTGAGTCTTGTAGTGAGAAAAAGAAAAGTTCATTGTTTTCATGGAAGATCTGATTTTAAGTCTTAATGTTGAATGCATTTTTTTTTCTTGGAAATTGATTGCAATTACTCGGAAACTCTTCGATAAAAGTGGTATAAAATTTATATAAAAAAGTTCCCAAGGGTAGCTATTTAGTGATGTAGAAATATTCAGGGTGTTCTACAGGGTGCGCCATATTTTGTGCCGGTATGTAAACATGAAATAACTTTGGAAACGAAAAACTGATCTCTATATATCCGGTATTTTTATTAAATATGGTCCTTTACAATTTATTTGGACTAGTTTTTGAACACAACATGGCCTACACGTGACTTTTCAAATAACCCCACAAGAAGAAGTCCGGTGGGGTCAAATCTGGAGACCTGGGTTGCCAGTCAATGTCACCTCTTTTTGACATCAGACGTCCAGGGAATTTTCGTTGTAGAAACTGGATTGTTTCATTTGCAGTGTGGCATGGCGCACCACCTTGTTGAAACCAGTACCATCAAGACCTTTTTCACATTTGTGGGCAGACATAATGAGCCTACATCCACCGATGTCGATTTCCATCGACTGTTTCGTTTTCGTTGAAGAAAAATGGCCCAATGTTGGTTTTGGCGCAAACGCCGGCCCAAACAGTGACTTTCCGGTCATGCAACGGCATTTCGTGGATCTCATGTAGATTTTTCGTCCCCCAAATGCACAAGTTTTGCTTATTAACGCCGCCAGAGAGCGTGAAATGGGCCTCCTCGGTCATCACAATTTGCTTCAAAAAATCAGGTTCATCATCAACCATGCGAGCGACTGTTTGGACGTATTCCAAGCGACGTGGACGGTCAGTTGGCAATATTTTTTGTGTTAACTGTACCTTATCAGGAAACAAATGCAAATGATCCTTCAAAATGCGCCGCAATGTGGTTCCACTGATGCCAAAATGCGGAGCGCGGTGACGATACGACACTTTTGGGTTCTGGGCAACGCTGTCTCTGACGCTTCAACCAATTCATTGGAATGTCTTGGTCGTTGATGAACGGTATGTTGACGATTTCCCACTGTCCCGTACTCAAGAAAATTCGAAACCAAGCGACGGATAGTGTTGTCAGACGGTGCCTGTTTTGCCACGATATTTTCGACAATATGCACGTTGCGTTAACACAACTGAACGACGATTTTCAATGTACATTGTGACTATTTCGGCGCGTTGTTTCGGTGTAAAGCGATTCATGACTAAAATTGTAGTAAATTGACGTTTCAGAAACATGTATAACCAAATCACTCGGTTTGTAAATATCAGTCATTCGATGTTTCAATACCGACATAAAAGATGGCGCACCCGGTATTTGAAATTTAAATTTATGCGAACAGATACCCTGTATAAATAGGAATATACTTTTGCTTTATTTTAGATCAGCTTAAAATCAAATCGATGATGATACAATTTTTGTGAACTGAAATTTATCAAAATATCTTAAAAAAGGCGGAGCTGCGAGCCGTGAAAGCTTTTTCAATCATTTCACTAAATATCTAAACAATTGACAATCGAAACCGTATGTTATGCGATATCAATCTTCTTGTCTTCAGAAGCTTTATCTAAATATGCAGTAAAATAGAGGGCATTCTATTAAAAAAATACAAGTTTGCTATGGCACGAATTTATGGGTTGCTACGAACACCGATTTTCGATATCTTTTCCAGTTTGCTCCTAAAACTGCTTTCCACCTGTAGAAAACAAATAACATAATTTTTGGATAGATTGTTTGAAATATATTTTAGTCTTACTAGCGGTTGGCAATATAAAAATTTGTTATGCGGAGCTGATTCTGAGATTTTGCAAAAAGAAACAATCTGTAAATATTCCGCTCGATGCCCATACTGAATCCTCTCCCAATTTGCTTCGTATCCGCTGCAATCACTTTCATTTGAAACATTATAGAATTCAACGAATTCAAAGCCAATGCAGTCCTAAAGTCGCAAAGCGGATCAATTTATCGCCACATTTCTCCTCGACTTTGGACTGGTACCAAGTCTACACATAACAATGTAGCATCCGTAGTTTAAATAAAGCGCATAAAGTTACTACAAAGGCTGCTTTCCGGCGGACCCAATAAATAGGAATCGAGTTACAAAGGCGAAGCTAATTTATTATGCCATTTTTCCGCAATATTTTCGCGTTTGGCCCACCACCAAGAAACATAAAGCTGGATCAGCGAATCTCCTCCAACAAGCTCCGGTCGCGACTGGCTGTCCTTTACGGCTGAACCCTATTTTAATAAAGAGCTACGGACGATGCGGAATACGTAATGTGGAAAACTCCGGAATCGCTTATATTAGGTTCGGCTCGCAGAATAGATACTTTTACTGAAATTGCAAGCGCGAAAGGGTCCCTTTCACGGACCTCGGACAGGCGGAATCACCGACGTTTGAGGACTTTCGTATTCGCTGTGTGCGCGATGCCAGCGCCGCCTGGTGACCATAATTACTCGAGACTTGAAACATGACAGTTCTTGACAACTAGATGTTTTGATAATAATTATCGGCTTTTCCGTCATTGAAATTAAATAAAACCATATGAAAGTAAGAAAAAAAAGGAAAATGAATCTGATAATACATCCAAGAAACATGATTTAAACATCCAACCTGAAATTCTGCAAATTCTGTCGATCGGTCCGCTAATCCTTGACCCGTCTATAACTTGGAAAGTACCAGTCGAATTTTAATGAAATTTTCACACAATGTTACTAATATGCCAAAATTTTTGTGTAGAGCGAGGGGTAGCAGATTTTCTCAGGAATGCGAGTAGAAAAGACTCCCAAAGTTATACAGAAAAGCATGCTAAATATGTAAATTTTAAATGTATGAGCCTGTTTGACTAACTTGATCCATTTAATTTTTTTTTATACATGTTCGTAAGTAACATTTTTCTAAGAGGTGCCGAACATAATCCTTTATGAACTTAACAGTGTTGCGCAGGAAGTGGAGAGTCAATCTACTTAACGAAATTTTCCGTTTCGGGTGTCAAAGAGTTGAGTTTAAATCTAACGGTGAGGTCCAAGGTTGAATCCAAGGTCGCTATTGAAACGCTTGCTAAAAATTACTGAAGAATTCTTTTTATCAATAATCCTGCTAAATTTCCAAGATTTTTCTCTAGTCTCACATAATGACCTTGTACTTAGATTTTAATACATGTTCTGATATAGAATTTTTCATTCTTTCGATGCACTTTCCAAAATTATGACTTCCAATTTATTGAACTCTCCTAGTATAAACCTGACCTTTTTCCAAAATTTTATGTGGAAAGCCGTTCCGATACGTTTGCTACATTCGGTACTATCTGCGTAATACTGTCTTTATGTATTTTTTTTACTTTTAGGAAAACTGCAAGGAGTTCGAGGCTACGGTTTCAGCGCAATGCGACGCCCTTATAGCAGCGATCAACGAACGTCGCTCGCAGCTCTTGGAGTGCATACGAGCTGACAAGGAGCTAAGGGTTCGAGCCCTTAAGGACCAAGCAGCCACATGTACGCAAAGGTTGCAACAAACCACAGCCTTACTGCAGTTTTGCATCGAGGCACTTAAAGAAACTGATAGCGCCGCTTTTTTACAGGTAGGTAGTAAGTAAGTCTTAAGTTACTAGGCTCTGACAGCAACGAATTAGGTGAAAAACTACGACATGCATCAAGATACTCAGGTGGCGCCATCTAGGTTAAGTAAATCGGGGTGCTGTATATAAATCGGGTTTGAAAAAATCAAAAATACATCTCTATATTCCTGGACGTTTCCATCCCGCGCCGCATATGTGTGTTTATCATGTGCAAACGCCATTTGTAGAAATATGGAGGTAGGTACGGTAGGAGACCTAGGTAGCCCCGAAAGTTGTAAATTGTTTAAACCGAATGCAACAAAATCGAACAATCTTTATAAGAAACACCTGACATTGCGGTACTCAACATGTCTTGTCAAATAAACCGCGGACATTTTTTATATCCATGTTGCTTTGAATTTGTTTGTGAAGTCCCAACTTCCAGAACATTCGGTATTCGAGTCATGAGTTAAAGATTATCTTCTATCCCCTAGTCAATTAAATGTAGTCGACGCTGTTTTGTACCTTTAGAGCTCATCAGTACAACATACCAGGATCAAGAGCTACATATGATGTGAATATGCAGGGTGATCCAAAAGTTCCAGAACGGACCATGCATGGTGTACGGCCGTAGTATGTTACCATTTGGATGGCACCCGTATTTTGATAGACTGCTTATATCGTGGATAGAGGATAGTTGTTTAGCTTTCGTTCGTCGATGAGTTGCCAAAAAGCAAGAAACACCTGTACATGGCTGGCCGCCTGTGGTCAGCCAGACGAAAACTATATATATTTTTTTTTATACTCCAACTACCATGAAGGCCTAAGGCCTAAGCACCCGTTGGTACCGTGGGGCTATTACTACAACTATTTTACTTTTACCATTCCGCTTGCATTTTCTTAAGGCTACTTTTCACTAACTAATGCAGCACAATATTTCCTCGTGAATCTCAAGATTTCAATAAACAAAAATATTATATACTGATCCCCAGGCTAGATACTCCGTATTCATACAAATATCATAAAGACCCCGAAACTCCATTCAGAAGCAACGATCTGAAAAATGTGCCATTGTTCCACTTCGCCCGCTGCCAAGTTGATGGAATCATTAATTAAAGAAAGGTGTGCTTGACAAACGGGAAAGAAGGAAGGACTTTATGTTAAGCCCCACTTCCTCTTAACACAAATTTATTCTTCCCAAATTAGATTCTGCTGCTTCGCGTCCTGTCCGAGATGTATTCCGAAAGATAAAAAAGAATTTAAGAAGTTCAACTTCTTCCACTAATGCGTTCAAATGGAACGGTGTTTCTTTTTTGCTCCAGTAAGGGAGGGAAGTGGAATGGGTATTTAAGTGAGTCGTTTTATTCAACGAGTGTGCTTTTGACCTTTAGCACTTGATTGAATTGAATTACTCAAAAGATTCATCAACCATCTATACTAAGTGATATATAAATCCGAACACCCAGTTTAAATGGTTTTATTTTAATAAAAGTTGGTGAATGTATTTATCTTACTGTAAATAACAAGTGAAAACATTTTCAGCCTTATCAGTTGGACATTCCGGTTTTTATACTGTTTTTTTTTTTAATTCACTAACACTCTAAAAATGAATATTTCAGCCGCAGTAAAGAATCAACGTTGGTGGATTTTGGTTCTTGACATCCTTTACGATCGGTTACTATGCCTAGAGTACGGAGACCTGTACGATTTCGTCAACTTAGTGAGTTTGATAGGGGCCGGATAGTGGGACTTCGGGAAGCTGGACTTTCTTTTCGGACAATTGCAGTTAGAGTGCAAAGAAGTGTAGACACTGTGGTTAGGTGTTGTCAGGCATGGCTTCGAGAAGGCCGTACGCAAAGAGCAAGGGGCACTGGACGCCGCCGTAGAACAACAGACCGTGAAGATCACCGCTTAAGATTATTGGCCTTAAGGGACCGTTTCTCCACTACCAGGTCCATTGCAAATGAATGGTTTGCAGAACACGGAAGACCTATTGGCATGCGAAGTGTTTACCGACGAATGAGAAGTTTTGGCTTGTTTTCATACCGGCCACACTGGGTCCTCCCTTTAACTCGAGAACACCGACGTAATCGCCTTGAGTGGTGCAGACAACGGTCACTCTGGGATCAGGAATGGAACAGTATTGTCTTTAGTGACGAGTCTCGATTTTGTTTGAGTTATGGTTTGGGGTGCTATAGCTTATGGTTCCAGGTCACCTTTACTCTTCATCAGAGGTAACATGAACGCGCAGCGTTATATCCACGAAGTTCTAGAACCCCATCTTTTACCCTATCTTGACACCCTGGCAGATCCAACTTTCCAACAAGATAATGCCCGACCACATGTTGCAAGAGTCACAATAGACTTCTTTCAACATAATGATGTCACATTGTTACCATGGCCACCAAGATCTCCCGACTTATCCCCAATTGAGCACGTGTGGGATATAATGGGTAGGAGATTGCTCAATTTGCAACGTCCTCCTCAGACTCTAGAAGCACTTCGAGAGGAGTTGGTGGTTGCCTGGAATGAGATACCACAGGAGGACATTGACCACCTGATCAGAAGCATGCCTAGGCGCGTTGGAGAATGCGTAGCACATCAGGGTGCATCCACACATTATTAAAGGTTAAAGGGCTTTAAAGCAAATTTTTATCATTTACTTATTATGCTTCATTAAGTACTTATACAAAATTTTATTAAAATAAAACCATTTAAACTGGGTGTTCGGATTTATATGTCACTTAGTATATCTTAAAAATATCCGTCGTATCATTTTTTTGAATCTTGAAGTGGATCATCCGCTCTCAAGTTCGTCTTCCCGCAATCTTCGTAACCACTGCAAGCATATCACTCTAAAAAAATCATATTTCATCTTAGAACTGACATTTAATGTAAAATTATGGTTTCCCATAAGTATTATTCTAATTTTAAGTATTTTTAGAAAATTATATATATTTTTGTATACAAGGTGACCCAAAAGTTCTGGAACGGACAGTTATTTGGGAATGTGTAAGAAGATGTATCGAAAAAGTAAAATAGCAAATGTTGAACAAGAGCTTTGAGGTCAAATCAAGATCGATATTTTATATGGGATCCACTACTTTTGACTCTGCAAATGGATAGAGGGTAAAAATCTACGTTCAGATAAGGCCTTTGTGAAAATTGTTCTGACCTTGACCTTTCTGGTCTAAAGACAAACCAGTCCTCTGGAGCATAAATTTTAACCTGCTGACTTTCAAGCTGACCTTGATCATGACTTTGGATGTCAAATTTCGGTAAAAATAATGTTGTCAAGGTCACGTCTGACAGTAAAATTTTTCGCTCTATTTCCGCGGTACAAGGTAATTAATGGTCATTGTCAGTTTTAGAGTCACAAGAGATCCGTATTTACGCTTTATCTTCAGAAATATTCTTGAAATCTTATCAAACGGCTTTTCATTATGATCACCAGAATATTGAAGATAAATTTTACCCAAGGTCATGTCTAAACACGAACATTTTTGCTTTATCCATTTTCGATAGCTGAGGTATACAGTACCACTGAAGAACGTTAATCTTCAGAAAGTCCTGGACATATTTTTAACGATGGCAAGATCAAAACTGTTTTCTCCCAAGGCCATGCCTCGTAAACTTTTCTAATCTATTCATTTCCGGGGTCAAAACTGTATATTAAAAAATCATCTTCACCTTGATTTGACCTTTAATGTCATGTTACCACTGAAAAGCCAGGGAAATCCTAAAAATCCACTTGTATAATGGATAAAACAAACATTCCGTGGACAGTTATCAGATGCATCGCGAAAACCAGAAGCTCAATTTCGCTAAACATCTAAATTTTTAAGTTGACATGTTAGATATTTCAGATTTATTACGATTTTGAGAAAACTGATTTTAGGAATTAAATTGGGATAGTTCTTAAAAATGATGATCAAACGATGAAATTAGCATATTTTAAGAGTAATCTGCATTTTTTTTAATCTAGATTCATTGATGTTTCACCGTAATATAACTACTACTTCTAATAAACTACTAACTTCCGGAGTTTTATTAATATCTTCAGGGAGATTAAGCAAATTTTCTTAACTTACCGGAGTATTGCTTTCCTGGAATCAAATAATCTTTTTTTACTTTCTAATTAAATCCGCAATACTCCGTGGAAAGTTCTCCGAAAATATCTCATATTTCATTCGGGGCCGGGCCCAGGATGATTTATAACTGATGCGACTTCCAACTTTTCCAGCACATTGCCCCACTTTATCTGAGGATCTTCTCGGAATTCCCGAATTTGGACTTTGACTTCCTATCCGGGTTGTTTTTATCTCGCAGTTTATCATATCTACGACTGTTTGACTTTGTCACCGGAAACCGTTGTTCGAATTCGGAAGGAGCTGATATTTTCGTTTGGGACGAATCGACCGATCTTTTTGTGCAGATGTTTGTTAGTATAGGAGATTTTAAGTAGTAGTAGTCGTAAAGCAAAAATCAAGATAAAAAACTTATTGTCTAGGCACAATGAAATCCCCAACGCTCTCGAATTTCGAGTTGATATACTAAGTGACATATAAATCCGAACACCCAGTTTAAATGGTTTTATTTTAATAAAATTTTGTATAAGTACTTAATGAAGCATAATAAGTAAATGATAAAAATTTCAACATGATTGCACTCTGCTTTAAAGCCCTTTGACCTTTAATAATGTGTGGATGCACCCTGATGTGCTACGCATTCTCCAACGCGCCTAGGCATGCTTCTGATCAGGTGGTCAATGTCCTCCTGTGGTATCTCATTCCAGGCAACCACCAACTCCTCTCGAAGTGCTTCTAGAGTCTGAGGAGGACGTTGCAAATTGAGCAATCTCCTACCCATCATATCCCACACGTGCTCAATTGGGGATAAGTCGGGAGATCTTGGTGGCCATGGTAACAATGTGACATCATTATGTTGAAAGAAGTCTATTGTGACTCTTGCAACATATGGTCGGGCATTATCTTGTTGGAAAGTTGGATCTGCCAGGGTGTCAAGATAGGGTAAACTATGGGGTTCTAGAACTTCGTGGATATAACGCTGCGCGTTGATGCTACCTCTGATGAAGATTAAAGGTGACCTGGAACCATAAGCTATAGCACCCCAAACCATAACTCCAACAGTGTGATGAACATGTCTTTCAACAAAAAACTGTGGATTCCTCCTTTCACCACGTCGCCTTCTAACCCTGGCACGACCATCGTGCATGCCTAAACAAAATCGAGACTCGTCACTAAAGACAATACTGTTCCATTCCTGATCCCAGAGTGACTGTTGTCTGCACCACTCAAGGCGATTACGTCGGTGTTCTCGAGTTAAAGGGAGGACCCAGTGTGGCCGGTATGAAAACAAGCCAAAACTTCTCATTCGTCGGTAAACACTTCGCATGCCAATAGGTCTTCCGTGTTCTGCAAACCATTCATTTGCAATGGACCTGGTAGTGAAGAAACGGTCCCTTCAGGCCAATAATCTTAGGCGGCGATCTTCACGGTCTGTTGTTCTACGGCGGCGTCCAGTGCCCCTTGCTCTTTGCGTACGGCCTTCTCGAAGTCATGCCTGACAACACCTAACCACAGTGTCTACACTTCTTTGCACACTAACTGCAATTGCCCGAAAAGAAAGTCCAGCTTCCCGAAGTCCCACTATACTGCCCCTATCAAACTCATTAAGTTGACGAAATCGTACAGGTCTCCGTACTCTAGGCATCGTAACCGATCGTAAAGGATGTCAAGAACCAAAATCCGCCAACGTTGATTCTTTACTGCGGCTGAAATATTCATTTTTAGAGCGTTAGTGAATTAAAAAAAAGCAGTATAAAAACCGGAAGGTCCAACTGATAAGGCTGAAAATTTTTTCACTTGTTATTTACAGTAAGATAAATACATTCACCAACTTTTATTAAAATAAAACCATTTAAACTGGGTGTTCGGATTTATATGTCACTTAGTATACTTTTTAACCCGCTTTTATATTAGCTTGATCCGTATATAACATGTAACTGTATCTTTGAACTTAATTTTCACAAATTTCAGCAAGTGTCATTAACTTGAATATTTGCACGTGGGTTATACACAGGGTGTTTATAAAATACCTGTCTATGAGTGGAAGGCCATTCCAGGAATCAATTTTCGTATAAACATAGCTCCGGTAATGCTTCGTTCAAAAAATCTGTTTGTTCTTAAGAATCACAATAAATCCCCATACGATTTGTTGAAGGTTGGTACGTACCGACGTAAAATCAAAAATGTAGATATAAACCAAACCCCGCATAGGAAAAAAGCAAGGGATTTAATTTCGGTGATTTAGGCCCGTATCGTCAGTCGTCCCTACAATTGTAGGGCGCGTTTATGGCCTCCTTGATTGTCAAACTCCTTTCTCTCCTTAAAAAATGTCTAGATTGCACCTGACCCGTGTCAGCGTCAGCGCTCTCCTATTGTGAAGATATGTTTTCTTTTTAAATTGTAGGAAATTTCAGGCTAATAAAACATGATATAACTCAAAAGCAAGCACAATTTGATGCAAATAGATGTTTGTGACATAACCTCAAAGTAGAGGGCTGACACGGAGAAGTAGAAAACTATATATATATAAGGAGGCTATAAACGCGCCCTAGGGACGACTGACGATACGGGCCTTAGATCGCCAGGACACTTTGTGGTTTTAATAATTAGAAGTCTTTAGCCATATTTTAGCGACGTCTGCTGGGTTTCAAAGCATTTTAAACATCATCATCTCCGAAGCAATAAATTTTCAAGAAGAGTCTCTCAATTTGTCTTGAAAGTGGAAAATTACTAGACATTCTGGCATCACTATTGTGACTGCGCTGTAATAAAAGTTTCGGATGAGAAAACATGCGAATTTCCTTTAGTGTGTCCTGCATTTGAAGGCCGAAGTGAAATATTGATATATGGGAAATGTCGTGCAATAAATAGAATATATCTCAGTACTTGGAACGCTGAAAGTATAAAGCAAGATGTTCGATGCTGCATTGCACAGATAGAAACTTATGACAGCTGAGTAGCTAGTAGAGCTCATGTTATCCTTGAAGCTGGAAATTTCCTTACATAGCATATACAGGGTGTTCCTTAATGATATGCCGGTAATTTTTTCACTTGTTATTTACAGTAAGATAAATACATTCACCAACTTGTATTAAAATAAAACCATTTAAACTGGGTGTTCGGATTTATATGTCACTTAGTATATATTGCAAAAAAGTAAAGAAACTCGAGTTTTTGGATCGAACAGCGACAACTTCGAACAGTAATTAAAAACAAAGCATGTCACGGGGCAGTACTTGAAATTAATGTCGTACCAAAGATATAGTATTATTTTCCTTCAACTTCTTTTTTACGTTTTCGGTGCTGCTTTCTTACAAATTAACTTAATGTAATTTCAAACGTAGCTGTTTCTGAAAGGGAAATTGCCAACGTTCAGGACATTCTTTATAATTCAGATGTTTAGTCACGATGGTTTCCAGTATTAAAGGATCAAAGGTTTGTCATGTGATCCAGAATATAGATGTTCAGTTCATCAATATTGAGGTTCCAAAAAAATGTCTCAGTTTCGTCCTTTCTAAGAATCATCAGGGACAATAAAAGGAATTTTTGAGTTTTATCAGAGATATGAAGGAAAGAGTTATGAGTTTAATCGTCGTGTACATATTTTTAATGTCGTTCTATTTGTTACAGGTGGGATCAATGTTGATCAACCGTGTGGCATCTACAGACCACTCGTGGCATAAAGAATGGTCTGCTCCAAGGGTCTCTCCGCATTTTGACTTAACTCTCGACGACAAGTCGGTTCTCAGAGCTATCGACCAGCTCAATTTTATCCAGATGAAACGTAAGTTTATTTGAACACATTATATGAGGAATTTATTTTTTATTACAGTATATTATATAAGTATAAACGGTATCCGATTTCCTACTCACCAAATAATTGTTCATCATTCCTAAAGATTTTCAGTCGTTTATTTCGTAGAACGACATCTTTAAAACGACATTCGTTTTTCAATTTCCGGCTACAATCTCGCCCAGACAAATCCTTTCCTAGACAAGACAGCAGAGAACGGCAAGGAAAATAACCTTAGATCAGATTATATCCGCATAGCGTAGCGTGTATGTTTGTAGTAGCCGCCGCCATTCATTTGCTCAGACTCATAGCGAGAGCCGGGAGCGCTTTTCCCGCTTTCGCTATGATTTTTCCCCGTTGGCCGTCCTCCCGGGAACGGGAATCAGCCTCCCGGGAAATAACAGAGTTGCCTTCGTCCGGCACCGAGGTGCCTAATTGTTTTCAGATTTGTAAAGCGTTACATAGAACAAAGAGGAGGAAGCAAAGTGAACAGACTACGAAAAGTAGAATCACGGTCAACGCCACCTGGCCGTCTAGCTTCTAGTCCAACCATTTGGTGCTTAAAATAAAACGTTTAAAATTTTTATAGACTTCGCGCTGCCATGTTGGGAAAATGGCACAAAACCTTTTTAGACAATTGAAGCGTTCTGTCCAATTAACCGAGCAATGTGAAGTATACACCACTGTTATGTCCTTAAAAAATCGGAAAAGTCCTGGGTTCGATGGTATTAAAAGCGAGCGTTTGAAAATTATAGCCGAGGACATAACAGAACCACTCACTTACCTAATCAACAAATGCTTTGAATCTGGCATATATCCTTCAATTTTAAAAAAAGGTAATATAATACCGATACATAAATCAGGAACAAAAACAGATGTTAACAACTATAGACCAATATCAATAATATCCAGTGTAGCAAAGGTTTTTGAAAAAGTTTTATCTACTAGAATGATTCGATACCTCACAAAATTCAAAATTTTAAGTGAAAATCGATATGGATTTACTGAAGGGAAGGCTACATCGGACGCAATAACTAAAATTGTAAATCAAATATATCAAAATATTGATAACAGAATCCCTTCAATCTGCATTTTTGTTGATTTAAAGAAAGCTTTCGACACAGTTAATCACAAATTATTATTAGAAGCATTGGAGAGAATTGGTTTCAGAGGAAACGCGTACTCACTGATCGAAAGTTATTTGTCAAATCGCCCACAATCTGTGCAGATATCAGGATCATTTAGTAAAGAAATGTATATTAAGTGTGGTGTCCCACAAGGAACTGTCTTAGGTCCGCTGTTATTCAATATATCTTTAAATGATATTTTCCAAATTAATTGTGTTGGCAAAATAACTAGTTTTGCAGATGATACTGCAATATTATATGAAGGTACTGACTGGTCTGATCTGAAAAATGTAATTGAAAATGATTTTATCAAAATTATTCGGTGGTTTAACAGTAGAAAATTAAGCATTAACTACTCTAAAACACATTTTTTACCATTTGGATCTTATGCTAGACATCTGCCAAATTACACAAATTTCTCCTTCATATTAATGATCAAAAAATGCAAATTAATAGAGTGCCCAACATAAAATACCTTGGAGTGGTCTTGGATCCTCACTTACGATGGGACATCCATGTCAATTATATTTTAAAGAAAGTTAGATTTGTATCCTAGAAAATTAAATACCTTGGGAATATATTGACAAAAAAATATCTTCGAACATTATACCATGCACTGATTGAGCCTCATCTCACATATGGTATATTAGCATGGGGAGCTGCATGTTCCTCACATATCTATAATTTAGATGTTTTTCAAAAAAGTATTCTAAAAATGATATTTAAAAAACCGAAACTCTATCCCACTGAAAAATTATACGCAGATGTTCGAAGGTATGATATAAGACAGCTTTATTTCTTACACAGTATCACTCACTACCATAAATTTGTAAACACCGACCAAAAAATTAAACATAATCATTATACCAGGTACAAAATTCGTGGCACAGTAGTTCCTCAACTGCATAAATCTATAATGCAGCGATCATATCTCTATTTAGCGCCTAAATTTTATGAAATTATACCTAAAGACTTAAAAGATTTACGTTTCGGAAATTGTTTCAAAAGAAATTTAAAAAAGTGGCTACATTCTATATCTAGGACTGAAATTCATAAACTCATAAATACGAACATCAACTAAATACATAATCTACTGCAGCTAATTTTTGTCCTTTTTGTCATTTGCATTCTACAGTTTCAACTTAAATTTATTGGTCCATGTACAGGGGATGCCTTCTATTGGGCCTGTTTTGATTTTATATTTATTTACTCACATTTTTTTGCTATCTTTGTACATTGAGTGAATAAATATTATTATTATTATTATTGTTAAAACCATGCCATTCTTTCCTGACACGAAAGCTCGTTGATCTGTCAGTAGAAGAATGGACAAAATTTCTTCTTTTAATTCGTATTGAAGTGACATATTTTCTGTCCAACCGTCCAACGTTCCAGAAAGAAAGATAAAATGGATTACTTTTCTGCCATAACAAAGCTCGAGAGGAGAGAGATTGTCAGTCTTATTTTCCATTCACACTCTTGTGGCGGGAAATAATGAAGAAAACATGAAAAACAACGATGAAAATAGCTACATCAACTAAACAAGAAAAAAACTTCCTTCAACGCATTGTGTTCAGCTCAGTTTCCACGTACAAAAGCGTCAAAGGTTAATCTAAATGAATATACAGAAAATCTGGTTGTTTGTTTAATATTCATTTAGCACGATTGCTATAATGACTTTTGAAAAACTACAACAATTGAATAACATGCAAATATTCAGAAAAACAAAACTTGCATCTCTAAGAATTTTCCCTCTCCATGCAATGTTCCTTTAATTTTTTTAAACATCTTTAGTTAGCTGGTTATAACGGGTGGTTTTTTAAGAGGTATAGGATTTGATTTTCAGAAAAAAACACAAAAAAATTGAAAAAACGATTAAATCTTTATTTGAGTCGATAGAACGGTCGATATAATTTAATGTTTAAAAAATATTTCATGTCAATGTTGGCCGCGGCTCCGCATTAGATGGCCGATGCGCAAGGTCCAATTTTGGCACACTCTCTCCAACATATCGGCCGGTATCTCACGAATAAATGCTTCAATATTGGCTCCCAGTGAGTCAATCGTTGCTGGTTTATCCCTGTAGACATTACCCTTAACATGGCCCCACAAGAAATAGTCCAACGGCATTAAATCACACGATCTAGGCGGCCAATTGACGGGCTCCAAACGTGAGATAAACTGTTCACCGAACTCGCCTCTCAATAGGGCCATTGTTTCGTGTGCAGTGTGGCATGTGGCACCGTCTTGTGGAAACCACATGTCAGCCAAGTCCAGCTCTTCCATTTTGGGCAAAAAAAAGTTTGTTATCATCGCACGGTAGCGCTCGCCATTCACAGTTACGTTCCGGCCATTGTCGTCTTTGAAGAAGCACGGCCCGATGATGCCACCGGCCCATAATCCATACCAAACAGTGATTTTTTCGGGATGCATTGGTAGCTCTTGCAATGCTTCTGGCTTGTCTTCACTCCAAATGCCGCAATTTTGCTTGTTAACGTACCCATTCAACCAGAAATGAGCTTCGTCGCTGAACACAATTTTTCGATAAAAATGTGGATCTTCCTCCAACTTTGCCAGCGCCCATTCACCAAATTGGAAACGTTGTGGGAGGTCGTGTGGCTTCAATTCTTGCACCAGCTGTATCTTATAAGGTTTTACACCCAAATCCTGTCGCAAAATTTTCCACGTAGTGGAGTAACAGAGGCCCAGTTGCTGCGAACGGCGGCGAATCGACATTTCACGGTCATCACTAACACTGGCGGATACAGCCGCAATATTTTCTTCAGTCCTCACTCTACATCTGCGTGTTGGTGGTTTAATGTCCAATAATGTAAACTGGGTTCGAAATTTAGTCACAAGCTTCCGAATAGCTCCCTCAGTAGGCCGACCAAATTGCTCATAAATTGGAAGCAATGCTCGATGCACTCTCTTACCCGAGCATGAATTTTGATAGTAAAATTCAATAATTTGCAAGCGTTGTTCGTTCGTAAGTCGATTCATGGTTAAATTATAGACCAAACTGAACAAGTTTGACAATGACACAAGACACGATTCACGCGTCATCTGTCAAAAACAGTGTTGCCAAAAAGATACTAGCAAAAATCATCCATTATTACTACTGCAATTTTGTAAATGGAAATCGATATTTCCTCTTGTACTTACAGGAGGTGCAGAGATATTTTAGAGGGTGATTCCTTGTTAAAAAAATATGAAAAAAGTATCTATAAACATGGGTCCGGAAATGCAGGGTTTTTAAGATACAGGGTGATAAATTTAAAAAAAAAATGGTACTAATATCTTGAAATTTGGCAATATTCTTTGTTGTGTTCACCTCCATGCAGAAATTATCTATTGTTTTCCAAGGCACTTGTGATTTTTTTAGCAAAAATTAATAAACCAGTTTTGTCCAGTGATAAAACGGTTTTTATTTTTTTTTTTCTCGAAAACGAAGTGAGATACGAAAAAAATACAAGAGACAGGGAAATTGTATTTTTAGATGCTTAATCAAACAACAAATATTAAAGTTACAAAAGAGGTAGTGGCGTACATTTTTTTGACCATAATATTAACTAAGGTGCCCCCCAGGACGCCATTGGACCTATTAATTTTTATCTATTTAGGGCTAAATTAGCCTCTTTATACAACAAAAAAAAGTTCCAAATTTCAACAGAATCGAGTAAATTATTAAAAATAGTAGTTTTGCAAGACAGTTTTGAGAAAGCCTTAAAAATCCTGCACCATCCAGTTCACAAAAACAGATTAGTATTTAATTTAATCGATTTACTATAGTTTGATTGTAATTAATTCCTGGACAAAGGATCGGACATAATGGTGGTGTAAAAAGATCGAACGCTTCTTGATGTC